TATACGAATGTTTTTAGATAATTTAGTGCACTACAGTACCAACAATAATGTATGGAGGGAAACATCTAAAATAATACCCCACTCCCCCCTTTAATTCTGACAAGACTAAAACACATAATTCAAAGGTGACACAAATTACAGGTCTATTTCAGTAGGTGTCCACAATTTTTAATCTTATATTAATATCAACACATTCTATCACCAAAAAGAGGTTGGATAATAATGATTTTCATCAGTATTTGTGTGTTGGTTCGACTAACATTTTAAAACTATGATGCAGGGCTGCATTGATTACGTCCACAGGTTTCAAAACCAACAGAAAATAGAATTAGTGGACTTTAGTTCATAATGGCAACAAGCGAAGCACCAGAAACTTTTTTGTTGTATACTGAAAGTCTGAGCTCAAAGGAGTGTAGAACGCAACACTGACAAATCTTTGAAGTATTCTCTGCCTCCCAATAAATACTTCACAGCTTAGGAAAAACTTCATTACTAGTTTGAGCAGCAGTGTGAAGCTGCACAGCAAAAAAAAAATTAAGGATTATACTTCTACTACTGTACGCATTTGATTTAGAAACTTTAATCACCAGTGACGCACAGATCACAGAGAAAACGGCTTTTATGGTTCGTGGTGATGTTCAAAATGTATTACTGCAGGAAAAAACAAAGTGGTGTGTTATTTAGTTGTCAGATTGTTCTACTGAGTAGTAACTGAGCCAGCAGCATTTACAGACTGAGGCTCCAGCACACCAAGTATTACCCAACAGGTAGTTGGTACCTCTCAGGCAAAAACTCTTCATCAGATGATCTCGAGGTGCTGTCAGTTAATTATCCTGATCATCTTTCTAGACTGCAGATTAAATACCCAGATGTACATAGCAAGGCAAAGTAAACTGTGGCTGGGAAGCCCAGTGCCTAAACAAAGCAAGGAAAGCTTTTGCATTCTACTCTCCACCAAACTAAATTACTACCTGAATATCATTCAGAAAGTGTCTGTTTTCAAGGAACAAATTATTTGATAGAATTCTGTGTGTTTCCTAAATTTAATTTCCAAAATAGCTGTTCATGAAGCAGTCACAATCTCCAGCTGTCACAATCACACCTTTTTGTTGTACAATGCAGCGCATGAGAAGGAAAGCAAGAAAAACTGATAAATTATGCAAGCTGTAACCACTTGTAGAATCTCTTAATACATGGGAATGAAAAAACAAGGATGTCATCATCATTGAAAAGAACAGCATCCCTTTACTGAATAGAATTGCAAAATATCTTAATCAGATTCCCACTCTTCTAATGAGGAAGTCAGAACGATATCCATCAAGAAACATATTTGATTTGTTCAACGCAGAAGATTAAAATGGATTCATTAGTGTAGGGATGAAAAGACTCACATTAGTTTAGCTGAGGGAGAACTCACACTACCTTGCTTGATTTAATGGCAGCAAGTACAAAGCATATATATATATATTTATTCTGACAGGTGTACTTTGGATAGCTCATGCTGGAACATGTTGAAAAAGTATCTGCACAGCATTTATTTAATCAGTGGCACAGACACTTCAAAAAACCTCAGAGCACAACAGATTTCTTATATTCCGACCAATATTCACTAAGTTCTGATGCATCTTGATTTTCAAGATAAGTTCACTTATATCACCAGTAAACACATACAGGTTCCTTTCTCATCAACTGCATTGATGACAAAATTTTATTGTTTTCTAGTTCAAGTAGATTTTCCCAAAATAAGTTTCAAGTTAACTTTTCCTGTAAGAAACACTGAAAGCCAAAGATGTGTCTTCCCTTCTGACAGTACCATTTTCTTATTTCCATTATCATCTTACTTATGCTATTCCCCCTCCTTTCCCAGGATTACTGTTTTACTAGATGAAGGGGGTAAAAACTGACACCTATTAATAAAGCAGTTTTTACAGAATATGCTCAGATTTTACTACCAGGATGCAGCAATATTCTGTATGTTACTCAATGCCTTCTGTTTCTTGGATATAAAATAAAACTAAACTGAATTATTTATCTTTCAGATGAAGAGGGCAAAGAGATTGAGGATTGGAAGGAAAAGGAACATGGACCAGTTCACACTGAACTCCACATCTCGTGATCAGGGATTCATTGCCCACACCATAAGGAATTATTGGTCACACAACTACAGAACAGTTGGGAAAGCATTAGGCAGCAGTAGGGATGCAAGAACAAGTGTACTAAATGCCTGCACAGCCTGGGCAAAGATCTTAATATAAAAAGAAATCCCAACACTGGCTTATTAGAAACTGCTTTAATCCATCTGTTCCCAAGGAAAAAGAACTTTATGGCAAAGTTATGAGCAAGAGAAAATAACAAGACCCTGACTACCTTGAGTTCAGAGATGCAGCTGAAGCTATGCAATGTCCAAAAGAAAAGTTTTCATAGGAGACTAATAAAAGATATTCTAAGTGCAGCAGTGAAACTACTAGCACTTTGTATCCATGAAAACACGCTATTACTCCTTACAAAAGCTAATGAAAAAATCCATACAATAGACCTCAAAAACAGCAAGCTGAGCTCCTGTTAGCATAAGCAAAAATATGAATACAAACATAAACTGAAGACTTAAAATCAACCTAATACTTATCTTTCCATTCCAACACACAGAGGCTGGTGATGTTAAAGACACCTCCTGCTACTTATCTACCAAGGCATCACCTGCACATGTGAACCAAAATCCTTTTCCCATTCACTCCTTTAGATGATTAGTCATTCCCTAAATTGGCCTAAAGCACACAACATTACATTTCTTCTTGCTCTTTTACCCTGGAATGTAAAGAAAAAGATGGCTGTGTCCTCATCTTTACCAGACACTGGTTCACAGCCCAGCTTAATCTTTGAAACGGCACAAGGCAGTGATACAAGTGATGCCACTCAGCCTGCTGGGAAAGGACAAAAATCGTGAACTATAATCCTTTATCCATCCCTAAAGAGCAGAACTGAAACTCCAAACGATCTGCTTTGCCTCCAGCTGCTGTTAATGGCACAATAGGAATATTTAGAAGAAGGCTGTTGAGACCTGGAGAATTTTGTTTACCCATAACTCACAGTGTTCTCTGCAGTGAGACTATTAATGACTCTCAGAAGGACTTAATGTGAATGTTATGGCATAACATTTGTTAAACTTCATATCACTAAAATAAAAATGAGGATACACTGGAAAACATTGAAAAAGTTCAAGACAAACTTCTATTACAACGTGTGTGCGTATATACATGTATATAAAAAAAAAAGATGGACTTAACACAAATAGTTCATCTGTTTTCTTCCTCAATTTGATTTTATTAATATTCTGTTCAGTTTAGTTTACCTAAAAAATGCACAGGGACACAATAAAGAACTTGAGAAAACTTGCTGAGAAAAACCGACTCGCTCCAGCATTATCCATGTACAAAGTTTATAGATTTCACACTGTTTGTTCAAGATATCCACATCTATAATCACATATATTCATCTTCCTTTACTCACACTTCCCTCCCTACAGATAAAAGTGCATTCAAAATCCTTGTCCAATGAGTCAGTTAAAAATACACATCTGATTCATGCATATATTCCGAATACAACCCTAAAGCCAAGGGGGATACTATTAATACACAGAACTAAAGAAACAGCCTCAACTAGCTGCTTCTGTTAAATAACTTGTCTGTTACTATTAACTACACCTACTGTCACAATGTTTCTCCTGCCATTCTCCTTTGTCTCTATGTTTGTTTTTAAAACGAAATATTTAAGTATAGAAGCTACTATATCTTCTATATTTGGATTTACATTTTTGGAGATTTTGTTTAAAAGCTAATATTTAAGTATACTAGCTACTACACTCCATCCCTTATTTGAAGGTTCTGGAGATTTCTGTTTCCTGTATAAAGACTAAATGTAGTCCTTTAAACCTCAGTATTTTAAGCAAGAAAACAAGAGGTGAAGTTACCTCTGTCCTACATACACACCTGTACTATTGCACGGACATAAAAACTGTTTCTAAAATTCTGTATTGTTATTTGTTTTATAGATCTGCTCAAGGATATCACTTAAGGACCAGCACCTCGTTTTGCTAAACTCCACAAAATCGAAGTCCTTGCCTGACAAAGCCTCCCTCAAGAACACACCACGGAACAGGTAAACGTAAACGCTGACATTTGACAAAAAAACAACAGGAAGGGTTTGAGTAATTTACCAGGAATAGCAAAACTGTCAGAAAAGTTGGCTGAATGCGTAAGGCTACCTGCTCGGGAAACAAAGTTTCTGCTGATAGCACTGTAGGAGCAGCTGTTTCCAAACATTCCATGCCATCACCCGCGCTCCTTCCCCTGCACAGAATCGCTCTGCTTGACACGTGTCATTCTCCTATCGCTGCGGGACAGAACCTTCGCCTTCCTCTTTCACTCAGCCTCTTATCTTTACCCCGTGGCCAAAAACAAGCCTTTCCCCTTTCCCCCGCAGCAGAGGGGAGGCGAGGGGCTCAGAATAAAGGAGACAACCCGCTGCTCGGCCCGCTCCCCGCGGCACCCACGGCGGGCGCCGCGGGGAGGGTCGGGGCGGCCCCGCACCTCGGCGGTGGCCTCTCGGCATCGCCGGCCCCCTCCCCTGGGCCGAGCCCGCCGGGCCCGCTCGCAGCTCTGCCCTCAGCGCAGGGCCCTGCCCGCCCGGCGGGAGGGGCCGCGCTGCCCCCGGCCCCGTGACACGGCCCGGCCCCGCCGCGCAGGCCGGGCCCGCATGCCGGGCCCGGACAGGTGCAGCCCTCGGGCCGCCCGGGCCCTGCGCTGGCCCGGGCCTCCTCCTCCTCTCCCCTCGCCAGCCCCTTCCCCCCCGCTCTCCGCACAAAGACAGGCCATGTACGACCACGGCGGGGCCGGTCCAGGCCTCCTCCGCCCCCTCCGCGGCCGGCGCCGGCGCCCCGGGCCTGCCTGCCTCCCTCCCTCCCGCCGCAGGGGCCGCCGCCGCCGCCCGCCCGCCCGCCTCACCTCCTTGGGGACGAGCTGGTTCTCCTCGCTCGGCACCATGGCCGCTGGCGCGGCGCGAAGCCCGCAGCAGGCTGAGCCGAGCGCCGTCGTCAGCAGCAGCGGGAGGCGGGGGGACGCCCGCGGCTCATCCTCCTCCTTCTCCTCCTCCTCCTCTTCTTCTTCTTCTTCCTCCTCCTCTTCCTCTTCTTCCTCCTCCTCCTCCTCCTCCACTCCCGCGGGCAGCGCCGCGGCCCCGCCCCGCCGCCAATCCATGGCCAAAATGGCCGCCGGCGCGGCTCTCGCGAGAGCTGTCCCGCCCCAGGCCTGCTGGCCTCGGCGCCTTCGGCTCGGCCGTGGCTGTGGCTGGTCCCGGTTCCGGCTCCGGTGGCTCGCCCAGAGCCTCGCCCAGCGCTGGGCGCGCCCGGCCGAGCCGCGCGGTTGTTGACTGAGCACGAGGGGCGGCGCAGAAGCCGCGGCGCGGAGCTCCCGCGGAGCCCCCGCGGGCAGAGCCGCCCCGCGCCCCGGGGCCGGCGATGGCGCTCGGCCGCCGCCGCCGCCCCCCCTCACGTTATCGCGGCGCGGGGGCGCGGGGGGTGAACGAGCGGAACGGGCTGCCTGGGGAGGTGCTGGAGTCACCCTCCCTGGAGGGGTTTGAGGAAAGACTTGGACGTGGCGCTTGGTCTAGGTGACACAGTGGTGGCCAGAGGTCTTTTCTAGCCCCAGTGGATCCTGTGATTCCGTGAAAATGCAGTAGCAGGAGGCGAACGGGGAGGGAGCGCGCCCATGTCGCTGCCCCGGGTGCGGCACGGGAGGCTCGAAAGGGTAGATTTTTGTCTGTGACAAGCTTCAATATATCTGTTTTTCGTGCCGCCTGAGACACACTAAAAGCCAAGTAAGAATCACTAGAATGACTAAAATGCGCATTAGTAGAAAAGTAATTATTGCCTACTTCGCTGCAAAATAGTAAGTGAAAAGTATTCTACTTGGCTAACGAAGAAGAATGGTATATGGTAGTTCTACGTTTCTGTACAACTTATTTTTCTTATTATTTTGGTGTCCTCTTGTGGAAAAATGCAGTATTGAGGGTAGTTTTTGGTTTTATGTCAAAGAAACTTCGTGTTTGGGGGTAATTTTTGAAACCCACTGTACTGGAGGTTATTGGTGTTGCGAAGAGTTAATAAAATTAAGCTATCTCTTCTCCCTTGTCACATTCAAAGTATGTAACTTCTCAGATCCCTGTCCATCACCCTGCTTTCTCAGAGATAGGTGGAACCCTTTGGAGACAGGTTATGTTATTAGGATTTCTATCAGTATAGTATTTTAGCACTTAAAAAAGAAAAAGGCTTCCAAATGGTCATTTCTGTGAATAATATCAGTGGTTTTATTTTCGTCTTTCAAGTATGCTGTGGTAAATGCTTTGTTTCTGGCTTTTTTGTTGCTGTTTTGTTTTATTTATTTCTGCTCCTTGAACTAAGCAGAGAAATCTTCTCATTGAAAAACTTAGAGCAGTTTTTAGGGATATTTCTAACCTGGTTTTTATTCTATAACTTAATGGGCTCAAGTTATTTATATAGTAAAGGTTAGGAGGTTCTTTAAGACAAGAGTTCTTGCCCTCTAGCTTTAAAATATGTTGCACCTGAAAGCCTTAGACCCTTGAGCTCTAATATGATGCAATTAAGCATCAAGGAAGGAAAGTGGGAGTCCCTTGTTAGTGTTACTTTATGTTAAGCAAGGGGTTGCACAGAGCTACCCCTCTACAACAGGAAAAAAAATAAAATAATTTGTTTTTTTAATAGGAAAAAGGTTATGTAATTAATAAACCCATGACTTTTCCCAAAGAGATGTTTTATTAAAGCTTATCAGCTGTGTCATCTGGTTAAAATTTTGGGCATTTAGTTGGGGGGGGTGATTTTTTGTTTTTGTTTGGGGTTTCTTCTGAGGGGGACTTCTATAAGTATCTTGGTGTGAGAAAAGGTGTAACTGCAGAAGAAATGAAAAATTACATCATCAATTGTAGATAATTTGAAGGAGCACAGCTGCCATGTGATTTCCTATTGTCCAGTGGTGTCCAAAGCTCCATGAGGTCAGTGAGCAAATCCTTGAGTTGGAAGAGCCAGAACAGAGCCAAGCTGGTACAATCATCAGAGCACTGTTTGGGAGCCTCCAACTTTGTTATGTGACTGACTGGCCTGGTGTTACTTCCCCCTCTCCTCCCAGTTTGGGGGCACACTTCCCAAAACCTCTCAAAATTGGGGGAGTCTTCCTCAATTTTATAAGGAATTCAGAATTTAAGGATAAGAAGCTTTCAGAATTGTTACTTTAGAAAGTTCTTTTGACTCTCTGAACTGTTATGTTCTTATGGTTTTGGTTTTGGGGATTTTTTTTGCTGTCATTTGAGCTTAACAAAAGAAAAAGCTGCAGGACTCAATGACTTAATTGAAATATATTGTTCTATTAGGATAAAGAGGTAGCTACCACAAATATGTGCCGACTAGATAAGAATCAGGAGTTTGTTTTTTAAAGAAATACTCTTTTAGATCCTCCTGCCAACCTTTAAAACTGTGCAAACATCCAGTGTAGCATGTGTGCATGAAACATCCTTAATGGAGTAATAATCTCTAGTTAATAATTAAATCTCTGAGTGCTTTTGTAATTTGTGGATGCTACAGTATTTAATCTCTTTAAGTGAGACTTCTTAAAGAGCAGTATTCAGCATTTGAATTTCATGAAGGGAATCTTAGCCTTATGTAAAGACTGATTTAATATACTAGAGGTTTAACTTCTCAGTGTGAAGAATTGATATCTCAGACTAAACTTGATGCTGGATTTGCAGGCACAGGTAGAATTTTTGGGCTGTTGACTGACAAACTCTTGCTCAGAGATGGATTGATGAGAGTCACAAGTGCTGAAGTGTGTCAGTTTTCAGCTAATGCAGCACTTGTCACACTAATGTATGCATCAAATTACTGGAAATGTAGTTATACAGTGTTGGTGTGCTAAAGTAAATAGCAGGCCTCCATTATAAAAGTTGATGAACTTGTAAATTAGTCTGTGGGAATGGGATACCTCCCCTCCTCTACAGCCTTTTAAAAGTTTATCCTTTAATCATTTTGCCTTCTCTGTAAAAAAAAAAAATCACTGAATCCTGTCCCAATGTCCATATCCCAGGTTTGATAACTAATGAAAAAAATTTGAAAAACGTTTTAAAAACTAAATGGAGTGCTGTCATCTAGTTCTTTCATATATGCAGTTAGGTGCTGCAGGCTGATGTCTTTCCCAAGTTATTATCCCACCTGTTTGAAATGGAAAGCCTTTATAAAGAGGATTGTGTAGACTAATACCATTGATTTGGGATGGCCTCTCTGAAACACTCGGGTTTGATTTTTCAAGTAGGCTGTTGGTGGGAGATCCACGTCCTGTTTCAGAGGCAGAGCCAACACTGCAGTTCTTGGTTTTTTCTGTATTGTTCTGTCAAAAACAACCAACCAACCAAAACCACCGAAAAGCAACCAAACCAAACAAAACAGAACCTTCAATAAAAACTCCCAAAGTTGAAGTTTGCAGCCCTTAGCAAGCTGTTGACAAATTATCAAAATGGCAAAGCACTTCTGTGTTTGCCAGCAGTAGAAATGTAGCCAGTGCTGATGCAGGGTTCTTTTAGAGCTCGTGTGCACTGTCAGCACTTTAAGAAAAACCAGCTCAAGGCCTCTCCCCTTTTCAATCTTTGGCAAGTCCACATCTACTGACAGAAACAGAGATGTGTGAAAGTTCAGGATATCACAGTCCAGCAGTTCATTGCACTGCTGGTTACTTTGCTGTTTGAGCAAGTAACTTTTCCCCAGTTGCACAGCAAATTTTGAAGCATTTCTCTGAAAATCTGCAACCAACTGCACATCCAGTCCTTTCAATAAGGAAAAGCAAAAAAAAATCAGTAAATTTGGCCCTTATGTGGATGGAGGGAAAAGGAAGAGAGAATTATTAGGCAGAACAAATAGAATTAGTAAAAGGTAAAGAAGAGAAAATTATATATTTCTGTGTCTTTAAATGTGCTTTTTACTAGGTATTAATTTCTTTGATCGTAGCTCCCTGAGTATGAGACAGACCAGTAAAAGGCTAAAGAGCAAATTAAGATACTTAAAAAAAGAACACTGATTATTTTCAATTATTCTGTACCTGTTAGGAGGCTTTTATATTTTAACATTTTAGATTGTTTCTTGAATGTGTTAAGCACTCAAGGAATCAAGGTATTAATTTAAAGATAAGGAATTATTAACTGATTCTTCTATGATCTGTACCTTAAAACTCCCCAGAGATTATAGATTTCCACATCTTAAGAAATGTATGCAGAATTTTAGGAAATAAAAAAATCCATTTCTAAGAGTTGAGAATTCTGTGGGAAATTAAAATGTTAAGTGGAAGATTTACTACGGAAAAGGTATTCTTTTGCTTTAGAAGGACCGTTGTAGCAGGTCTTGTAGGTGTAGTAGATAAGTAAGCAGCCCTCTGAAGTTAAACTTCACGAGATTAAGGAAAAAACTCCTTTATGTTCAGTGCTAAACATTGTGTTCTGTTCCTAAGCAGTGTTTTCTGCCATAATCTTTATGAACATAGAAGTGCTTTTCTCTCCTCTGACATGGTATTTCATGCCAAGATCTTTTTCATAGAAACCAGTAGGGGATTATTTCAATTAATTGTAAATCGGCAGCCAAGCTTCATTAACGTTTTTGTTAAAGATTGTCTTATTACTTTGGTTTCAAGATACTGAGTGTTCAGATATTAGCTTAGGAAGCTACTTTTCTTTTCCATGATAGCATTAATCTTATGTGTCAATTCCCGAAAGAGTTTGGAGCTGAAATTAGTTGTAAAGAGAAATAAAAATACTGCAGAAAGTTTTGCAGGACCATGGATTCCTTTATTAACACTGAATTCTTTTACCAGCTTGACTTACAATTTTCAGCATTGTGTACTTATAACTACAGAGCAGTTTCTGGCATTAGCAGCCTAAACAAAGCACAGTTCCAGGGTGTTTGACCTCTTGATGCACTTGTCAAAACCTTCCTGGTGTAGCTGGGAGTGAAACATGTGCAGCAGGCCAACTTCCACTTTGTGTGGTGAGGGTTTGGAAGCAGATGTGGGCTGGTGTCACATAGGGTTTGTGGCATCCAAGCAGATCTCACGTGGAGTTTGCTGGCTTAGCCTCGTGGCCAGACTGTGGCTGGTCCATCCAAAATGTGTGCAGTAGCTTGGAAACGTGCAGACTGGTGGAGTGCATGCATCCTTCCTGGAATATGGGCTTGGGTGTTATCTAACCCCCTCCTCCAAGTCTGGGGGGCGGTGGGGGGAAGGAATCTTTGTGCACAGCAACACAGCAAAGGCTTTCCTACAGGGAAAGCAGGAAGAAAGGAGTGTTGCCTTGAGTGCAACCGTGGTGTGGCAATG